AAGTACCTGCTTTCAGCATTCCAAATATACTGAAATTCTCATAATAAATATATAAAACCATTAACAGAATTGTAAGAGATAATCATAAAGTTGTATTTTAAACATGAAAATTCAATTATCTGTAGAAATAAACGATGAAATAAGTACCGCTCCAAATTAAACAATTGCTTCTCACACTTGATACAAGTGTTGATACATATTTAATCAACTAAATAGTCATGTTAAATAGAGATAAGTAGCGATATATTACTTTCCAATTTGTTTTTACAACCGTTTTATGAGCGGAACCGGCTGGACTAGCAGTTTTATGATTATTTGAACAGAGGCGGACGCGTATATATTAGTATTGTACTAAAACATACATCAAACTATTCTCGTTGGCTATAAATTTAATATGATGTCAATGGGGAATGTAAATGTTTAATTACCGCAACTGAAACAATTAGAAATTGGTCTCCGCTTTGAATGTGTATTTCCTTGCAATGTTACCGACATGAAATATATTATAAAGGCATAATATTAACGTTTTGTATTTGAACGTTAAAGATATGAATGTGTTCTTCTTATGTTCAGTGTAGGATACTCTTCTACTTCTAAGTGATTTGGCTGTTCTATGTCAATCGAGTTATAATCGAGATCGTTATTAACAGACGGAGCGTTAGAATAAAGATTTTATTATAACAGTAAATTTATGGACGTAATTACAACGAACATCAAAGCCTTGCATGTTGATTTTCTTTTTACCGATATATTTTTGAACTTTAAGCCTATTAAATAAAATAATAGGTATACTTTTTAAAAATTACAAAAAGTGACCTCTCTGTCAATATTTATGACTTCGAAAAGACCTTCGAAAGTTAATATAATATTAACTGTTACAAAATAATCTTTGAAAGTTTTAAAACGTTCATGAGTAAGTGCTGTATGCGAGAAGCCGAAAATCGATCGAAGTGGCGTGCAATAGGAGAGGCCAATGTCCAGCAGTGGACTGCAATAGGCTGATGATGATGATGAGTGAGTGATTAGGACTTGCAATGTTCGATACCTGATTCTAACTATAAACCATATCTAAAAGCTCAATGCAGTTTTAAATGTGTAAAATGACGATCAACAATCAATCATTTTTCAGGTTTTAAAGCTACAAAACACAGTCAAATCTCTTTAATATCTCAGATTGATTGATTCCTTTTTTTTAAATAAAACTATATACATTCCAAGATACCATAACCATAAATACCAAAACAAATTGCTGACACGGCGCGAAGAACTAATTAAAACATATCTCTAACATATCAAAAGAACGAAATATCAATATCAGAACCAATTATTTGTAGGCGTATAAAAAGGCGCGGTTGTAGTTTCATAATTTTAATTACAAGACAAAAGTCGTGTGTGGCTCCCCGTCGCGGCTTCTACCCGAACTATTGATGAGCTAAAACAATGCGGTTTCATTACTCGGCAGGTTAGCTCATCCCACATTGCATTATGGTATTCAGTATATATATATATTTATATTTACATCGTAAAATTTAATGCATTTGAAATTTAATTCTCCAAAAATGTTTATTGCATTTACCTTCTGCTTAATATTTTGAAGTCAATTTTTTTATAACATTGTTAAATATGGTTGAATTAAGTAGATGTAATGAATGCTCTTGAAATTTAGCCTTAATTTCTACAAGCTTACTATATGGTTTTATACATCGATATTCGGTTTGTTTCATTTTATACTAGTAGCGATAGATGGAAAGTGTCTACGTCTTACAGACGCTGTGATTTTCTTAGATTTTATTTCTCCTTTATTTATTTTTATATTTAAAGTTGCATAATCCGTAACATTTCTAGAGTAAACAAACCACATATATTTAAACAATACATATTAATTGATAACATTAGGTTAATTAAAACATACCACATGATCCTGTTAATAGAAAAATACGAATTAATTTTAATCTCTAAAGATTACCGCGACTAACCAATACAGAATTTGATTTGAATAATTGATTCTTAAGTTGAAATGATCTGTTGTGGTCTGTGATGTAGAATTATCTTTTTTATCCACTAAGCTTCCAACAAACCCGTATCTGTAACATCTTCTAACTCTAACTAGGCCTATTTCTATCTCATTTCATAATCAAACCTCGTAAGTTTAAGTAAAATCTATTCTCTATTCGTCTTACTTTCAATGATTTCCAATCGTAAGGCGTCAGGATCTGTGCGCCATCACATGATGAATTGAAATCACATCATGGCTAGAATACACCATGTTTATTCTAAATCGTTTTACACGACATGTTGCCGATGTGGCCTACATTTTGCCACCATACATTTTGCCCCAGTGATGAGGGGCAACTCTATTGCCTGCAATTAAACACTATAGGAAATATATAAAGTAATTTGGGGGCATTTTGAAAGGAAACGCAGATAAGAAGGAAAAGCAATAGTACAACTACTTACAAATTGAAAATGCAACATAAAAAAGTCGAAGTAGATTAACTTGAAATATGATATGTAACAATTTATATAATAAATTGTTACATATCATATGTATAATTTATAACTTATTATAATAATGTATAATTTATAACTTAAATTTACCATTTATAAATTTACCACAGTAGTATTTTTTGGAAAAAAGTTCCTTATGGCGCGTTATACGCTTTGAGCGGATGGGAGCGAGACCGAAAAATGTGTAACAAGATTTTTTGCCGATAATTCAGTTGGCTCGTCGTCGTTCACATCTTTTTCATATTTAGCAAACGTCTACCAAAAAGCTAAAGGAACTTCGTTCCAACCGGTTGTTCATAGACCCATAGTTATTATTATTTAATTTGTGTGCAAATCTGTCAAAACTGTCGTTTATCTTTCATGTAGTCATCTAATTCTATTTTTAATTATAATTGTCTCATTAGATATTTAACTAATAGACAAGAAGCACGTAGTTTTACGGGTATAAATATAGATTATGGCCAAAAGAAAGCCTTTAGTATGTAATAATATATCCACATACGATATTGATATATTTAGTCAGTTCCAAACTTACAGTTAAAAACATGAAAAATATTATATCTATTATTTAAGAATCAACGAAGTATCAGTACCTATTTCGAAATATTTTGTTAGGGACAGTAGCAAAGTATATTTACAAGTGAACATTTAACTAAGTTTAAGTAAGCAAATTTAAAGTAAACAATTTAAAAAATAATAATTCAAAATACTTGTGAGACCTGTCTCATTTGAATGTCGATTGACGTATTGTGAATGAGAGGAATTTAAGATGTCCGTTGCTGGCTCCAACTTTGCTTCAATGAGGTCATTTACATACTAATGCTAGTCAGTACCTATTAATATTTATAAACATTCATCGATAATGAAATGCTTACTTAAGTTTGTAGCTTTTGTTTTATGAGTTGTCATATAATTGTGTAATCATTACACCCACACGAAATAGACCACGAACAAAACAAAAAAAAGTTTTTTTTAAGAAAACACCTTTCTTCAAAGCTTTCTTTTTAACTAGTCAATCTCTTAGTAAATCATACGTAGTTTTGCCTTGTTTTGGATAATAATATTCAGTCTGAGACAACTTTTTAAAACTTATAATCTATAACGAGTTGTGTATTCACACAAAATACAAAAGGGTTTCTATGTCCATAATCTATCTTTTACTGTTTAAGATAACATATTTTTAAACGGTATTTTTTGTATGACGTAAATTAAAGAGCTTGATACAAGCTTCAAACCTTCAAGAAAAGAACGTACTCCTTCCTCAAAGGCTTTCACTACGCGCTTGTGACTACTGAGTTGCAGGCCTTCATGGGCGGCGGTAGTCGCTTTTCCCCAGGTGACCCGTCTGCTCGTTTGCCCGTATTTCATGACAAATAAAACAAAAAAAAAATTTTTTTCATTCAGAGATTACAGGAAAAAAATCATACACACTTATGGTACAAAGAAAAACCTTGTTTTTAGTCTAATATATAAAATTCTCGTGTCACGGTGTTAGAAGTTGAACTCCTCCGGATCGGCTCTACCGATTTTCGTGAAAGTTTGTGGGCATATCGGGTAGGTCTGAGAATCGGCCAACATCTATTTTTCATACCCCTATTTCTTTTTTTTTGACATTTTTTTTGAAATAATGTATATGGCAAAACAACGTTTGCAGGATCAGCTAGTAATCCTATAAAATCTTTCAAGCCTTTTTATAGCCTCTACAAACCAAGTGTTTAAAAGGAATAAAAAGAAAGGTAACCAGACCGATGTAATAAATTAATTACCTATATTAATAAAGACAGCTTAGTCTAAAAGGCACAGATTAAACAAGACATAGCCAACTTACAATGGTTATTGAATACTGAAAGATTTCAAATAAGGCGACCCTATAATATTATGTGCTTTGACCGTCTCATATGCAATCAGTAAGTATTAAAATTAGTTAAATATTACAAAGTATTTACACAGCCTGTGGGCTCTAAAAATACTTAGTGATACTTTAAAATCTTTTTCTTTGCTGTCTACGTAGAATCCTAAAGCAAACAAAAAGCCTCCGTGATGAAGTAGCTTATCCAACGAGCATCTTAATGTTGATCTCTAATTCATCTGCCATACACGATGAGTATGGTAATATCCTCCCATGACGGTCATTGTAACGGTTTCCCAATAGATATTCACTACTTGAAAACGTGTTTTGATTGATTGAACATGTGAGCAAGTATGTCGTTATTTTTGTCCAACCTTGATATTCGCCTCCGTGGTGCCTTTAAATAATATAAAGTTATTGAAATATAAGAAGAGAATTATTGTCTTGTCCTATTTGTTTTATGATATGTTTAATGTGGTCAAAAAACGAACTGTCAAATTGAGACTTAATTCATTTATACCTAATTTTTTGCTTGTATTGCCAATTTTTGAAATAGAAAAAAAAACTACAGATTCAGATTTCAAATAAACAGTTAAAAAAATAAATTTTACAGAATATAAAGAGTTTGAAATCAACATTTCAGAATGCGTCGCAGCAGAAAGAGAAGGAAACTCGTGAGGAGTGCAGAACATACGCGAAGGGTGCGAAACGTTGTCAATGTGCCGAAAACTACGGGACCGGACTGTCCAGGGCTCGGACGGCGATACCACGAGTGCAACACTATTGTAAGCCAAAACTTCGCAATAACCTTTATTTATCCGAGTATAAGGGTAGGATAGCATTCCAATGTGTAAATCCTATTAACCCAGCCCACGAATGAAAACATCGAGTTTCAGTCTTCATGGAATCAAGGGAAAGTCTAAATGGAATCCAGGGATAGTCTACATGGTATCCAGGGAAAGTTTACATGGAATCCAGGGCAATCTATCTAGAATGTCTTGCGACGTAAATGAAATAATCTCTTCTTCTTCTAAGTAAAGCGAAAGATAATTGTATAAAAAACAGACAAAGTAAATATCCTTGGAACCATAATTGGAGCTATTTAATTCCATGCATAAAAAGAACAAACAAAAAAATCACATAAGATCTTGAGGTTACAGAACTCTAAATTTCTGGTTAAGCTCAATTAGAGCCACTACATTACAAGAAGCATTACTAATTCTGCCCTTTTCTGTTAATGAGTAGGGTGCTTTTTAAATAGCACCATTGACGTCATAACTGTCTATAACGACCAACTAATGATGGTGACCATAGTTATAAATAACAAATCTCCTGTAAACTATTAAATGTACCTACTTAATATTACTCAACGACTAATTTATTGCACTGAACGCAAATAAAATGGGAATAACGGTAGGGAAAACTTAATCACTAATTTAAGAAACTTAAAAGTCAGAGCGAGTATGATTTTTAAGATCTTTTACGATTTTTACCGTAACAATTTGTAATGTAGTTGTAGCAAATGTTCTGACATTAAAATTGCCTTATTGATAATGTTCATAATCTTTGAATAATAATAATAACAATGGATTAATTGCTAAGAGCCTCGACCAACATCTTCAGAGGCTCACGTTATGCAGCTGGATGCAGGCCCTTACCTGATGCAGAAAGCAGTACTTCTCGACACGGCACGTATTCTGAGGAGGTTTCTGTCTCTGGAGTCCTAAGCACCAGTATCTTGGTCCCTCTACGCGATACCGATAGGACTTTTTCAAATGTATTAATTTTTACATAAATATATACATACATTTGTAAAAATGTGTCCGAAACAACTATTTGCAGGTCATATAAACATTTGGTCCGACCCGGGAATGGAACCCTAGACCTCAGCACAGCAGTCGTATACGCTACCACTGCACCACCGAAACAGAGGATAACATTCAAACAATAATTTAAATATGTTTTAAACCCCTAAGCTAGGCAATTAATCATCGGTCGCCGCATCGATTTCAAATATTTTGAATCAGACGAGAAACTTCTATTTGTAAAACTATTTTTATATTCTCTGTCCTGTGAAAATATTGGCGGGAATTAGAATATAAAATATTCTCAAAAAAAGCAAGTCAAAATTTATTACGATTTACAAAGAGTTTTCATAACCGCATTGAACAGGACGGAAAAAAAAGCTTTAATTTTATAGTACATTTTATTATGACACTGGCCGTAATCAATTATGGATTAAACAGTATAGTAAAGAATTAAATTTCGAAAATGTTTGTAAAATTTTCAATATTCATTTGTTCTTATTCTCAGTACATTTTTTTTGTGAGTGTAGTGAAAAAAGGGCAATAATAATAAATTAAATTAAATATGTATCAATGAAGATTTAGATTTTGTAAGTATTTACTTAGTCATTATTAATATGTGTTCATTTTCTACAATAACAAATCGTTATTTTTTTTATAAGTATCATTATTTTTTTTAGCTGCTTAATACTAGCAGTAATGTTTACATCTAGTGAATACTAAGTGATAAAAATACTATATTTCTATCTGTAGTAGGCAACTTCTACTTTATACAACAAATTGGTATGGAAGGATTAATTTTTAAAGAATTTAAATGAATGAAGTCATATTTCAAATAAAAAGATTCTTATTAGTGTGTTGAAGCTTCGTCAAATCATCACGAAGAGGCTTACTTAGAATGCAGATAACTAAATCTGTACCTATAAGCTTGAGACCTAAATCACTCATCACAGGAGGTGATTTAAGTCAAGTTGTACCGTATTTGTAATTTTTGCACAGAAGTTTTCAATATTTTCTTTTGTCTTACTCACGTTCTTTTTTTTATCAACTATAGTTTCGGAGATAATTTTGTGCAAAGTGATATAACTGGCAGGATTTTTGCAAAAATATCGTGAATATAGATGTATTTAAATTTGTAACCTCTATAAATAATTACACATTATTTTTCGTGCTTTATGGTATAAGTGCGATTATATTATTTTTCAGTATATTTATCGTGGATGTTGATCTAATTAGAGTTATGTCACTTTGAACAGATCCGAATCTAAATTTCTCAATAAAAATCCGAATCTAAAAACCAAGATTTGAACAAACATATACAATTCAGCTAAATTATGAAAACAAGGGACTGATAAGTAAACAAATCTCATCTTTGGGGTAGTATTCTTATCATTTGTTTGAGCAACTTTTGCGCTCTAGATATTTGTACTTAATGTATACCAATTTACAAGAAGCCAACAAAATTTAACTGGACTTGTATTATTTATTTCGTTATTTTAGCATGTATTAGAAATAAAAAAAGATACAACTGATAGGTTTTTTAAGAATTACTTTTAAACTATAATATTCGCCACAAAAATTTAAATGTATGTACATTGAAAGTGAATGTTTTTAGCTACAAAAGAAGGTAAAGACTAAAATTAACCAAGCCTACTTAGATCACGAACTAGAATTTTTAAAATCTGGTTTTTGTTCTCCTGTAAAGTGTTGTTTTTTTACTTGTATCACATATCATAGGAGGCACAGAAATTAATCCAACTAATGTTTTTTTGTTACAATGTGCGTACTGAAATGGCCTGGCTAAAGATATGCGTATGCAAGCATATAATTAAAAATGTTGATTTATTCTCCAGTGATTATACGCTATTATCCAACATAGTAGTAGTTCTTAAACGATGAAAAAAATGAAACTCTCTAAACCCTCTTTTTTTTTTGTTAGGCTTGTCCGGGCCCTGTTCGTGACCCTCGGGCTGAGCAATGCGCTGTGTATGACCGCAGGCCGTTTCGAGGCAAGTTCTACACCTGGGTGCCATATGTTGATGGTAAGTACATTATAGCATTTTACCGTTTTCTAATCCTAAACTGGCAGAATTATGTAGTGCTATGGTAACTAGAATACTAATAAACAGACAAACAGACAGAAACAGAAATACATAATTATTATACTCGTACATTACACATAAATTACACTCAAATTCAGAACGATCATTCGTTCTGTATCTAAGTATAATTTATCTCTGCTTATCACACAACTCTTTAAAGTATTTACTATAATTTGTAATTTTTGATGAACTTTTTTTATAAACACATGAACATTGAAACTGAAAAAGATAATGCATCAAGTCCTGATAAATATTGTATAATATAATATAATATTACAATTATGTATACGAAATATACTTAAAGCGAACGTGAGTTTCTATGCTACGCTATACCGTCTTAACTGTTCAATCAATCATTATCAAATTTTGCATAGGCACACGTCAACACAACACACACAACTTTAATAGAAGGGTAATTTAATTAATTGATCCGTGTGGTGACGGATTAAGAATACGGAATGTCGCCACCCCTATAAATCCCATGTTTGTCGTAAGAGCCGATTAAGGGAACTAACAACTCTAGACAACAGCACTGCAATAAGAATTAAAGCTTGACACAAACCCTTCTGGCCAGCGTATGTCCAGCAGAGGACTATTAAAGTATGTGAATAGAAGATTAATAAAATAAGCTAGTTCAATGGAATTGTAATACTCTTTAATACTGTTCCCATGAAGACTATTTAAATTGTCTTTCGTGAAGATCATCAAACATATTTTTTACATTCTAGGCGACTCGCCCTGCACCCTGAATTGTCGTCCACGTGGCCAACAGTTTTACGCTTCACTAGCGTTGGTTATCGACGGTACTCCATGTACGAAACCAGGATTCAGAGCCATTTGTGTTCAAGGTGATTGTAAGGTAAGTCAATATTTTTTTAATATAACCATTCGTCAGACAACTAAATACGAATTAGTGTTAAGGTAACAATAAAATGAAGTTTAAAATCACAGGTAAAAGAATTGGGCGAAAAAGTAATTTCATAAATTCAAATAGGTATATTAAGGAGTTTCCGTGCAAATATGTGATAACATTATACATCAAGTAATGTCTTCATCTCAGATAGAGCTAAGAGACATATTAAGAAGCCGCATTTTGTTAACTATAACTTGGTCTCACGTAGGATATACCTACATTTCTTCGGACACTTTGGAAATTAAAATGAGAGAACCAAGAACATGCTAAAAGGCACAGGTAATGGACGGCAGGTAAGACTAGGGAGTGTCGCCAAAGGTTCATGCCGGTTTAATTTCTATGTCGTGTCTATTTTAAATCTAGAAAGTCAATTTATTTTGTACATTATACTTAAAGTTTGCCCTCTACTATCAACATCGCCATCTAGTAACTACTAGTAGAAAACATCAGTTTCGCAAGTCAGTTCTCATGCAGTAGCGCCATCTGTTGTAGAATAGATAATATAAAATGTGCCATCAATGGAAGTACGCATGCACAATACTCAAAACGTGTTATTATGTTGTTATGTGATAACTGCAATAACATTACCAACTAATAAAACTAATACTACTCATAGACGGAACTTTCAAAAGAACTGTAACAAGCTTATTCTTTTACACAGCTGACTAGGCTAAATTGAATGCTTAAATTGTAGTTACAAGCGCAGTGGTGGTACAAGATGTATATTAATAATTTGTTCGAGGTGTGAAGGGATTAAGGTTGTCGCTTATCATCCGGCAAAGCCCGATAAATTATCTTACCTTTGTGGAAAAAAGGCTGCTTGCCACATAGTGCATACATAAGCTTACTATTAAAGTAAAACTTTTTGTTTAGACAGTTGTATTTTGTGATGCAGGTACATTTATTTTCCTGCCATATTTATTTAATGACACACTCGATTCAAAACAAAATGGTACTTATTTTTTTGTCAACATTTAAACATTACTTACTTTAGACACGAAGTTGACCTAAAAACATGTATACACACACTGAAAACCAATAATTAACTATTCTGATTTCTGAGCGGCCCTGTTGTGAAGGACATTTCCGATAATGATTTTTTAATAATGACACAATGCAACTTAAACACCTTGTAAGGTACAATGTTACAATTATAGACACATATCTGAAAAAGAAAGTGGTAACTAATCTTTTTAAAGTCATTTAGACTTAAAAAATAATATTCTCAATCCTCAGAGCTAAACAAGAATGAGCTTTTTTTTACAGAACAAGGTTTTTTTTAAAGGCATCTCCCAGAACAGTTGTCATTCATGTGTTAAAAACTCCTAGGCCCGGTAAAACTATTTGTTGATCACATAAATTTCCATTTGGCAATGTCTAATAGTTACAAGGCGACTGCTTTAACCATTGTACAATCTCATCCAAATTTCCATTAGTGTCACCATAATTATATTTGAACTTAGATTTCTATTTGATTTTAACAATCTATTTATACTTTAAATATCTTTAAAGTATACAATTAAGCTAATAAATTCCTTGTTTATTTTGTTGCGTTGAAGGTGCATTGTAAAGTACACCTATTAAAATAAAATATTTCATTAAAATAATCACTTCGTAGCCTTATTCGTCTTAACGAATTATCTTTTAAATAGAGTAAATCTGTAAAGAAACTCTTTTTCTAAATTTAAATATCATAAATAATGTAAGACATAGTAGATAGGTAGGCACATAATACCCTGTCATAGTAAGAACGGGATTACGGACCTATCTCAATGGGGTGTCCTACACTATTAGAGCTCAGGTGCACAAACTCGACAGTGAATAATTAACTGACATGACTTTATAATATAAGTATTACCCACCTCAAATACCATATTTTACTGAATAAATATTTATTGATATAAAAATGTTTTATTACTTCTTTTATTTTAAATACTGACTGTGGTGGGTTTATTATAATTACATAGTAAGTATTACCGGTTAGTGTTGGGTCTATAACTTATAGTTTCTATATGTATGTATATCTATTAAAACCAATAGGCATTAAAATCAGAAGTCATATTTTAAGTAATAATACTTAAGTATTGCATATTTACAGCTACGTATTTACTACGAGTACATTATATGCCTACAGTTTTAATGTTTTCTAGTTTCCTGCAAACTTACATCATCATCTGCCCACCTTTATCCAAATTTTATTTAGTGTCGGCGCAGTGTGTATGATTCTTCTATTCTATATCTTTATTCACCATTTCACTGATTACTCCCTTCCTAGCCATATCCTCACTTACACAGTCCATCCATCGTTTCTTTGATCTTCCTCTTCCCTTGTACCCTTCAACTTCAATACCTAACACTTTCTTCGCCACATTTTTGTCATCCCTCCACATGACATGTCCTTATTGCAAACTTACATTAATAATTAAATGCTGTTTGTAGTCAGTTGACCTATTGCATGACTGTTAATCTACTGAACCCTTATAACGGTCATCCCTATACTTAGTTGTAGTTTATGGTAATCAGTGCGTGCATATGTAAGTAAGCCGGCGGCTAGTTAGTGTGAGACCGTCCTACCATACTTCCTATCTGCATCAGTGGTGAGCAAACCGTTATAACAACGGTTGAGTGTATATACTGTGTTTTAATATGTACATCATCACACTTACTGTGCTAGTATAATGTTGACTAACTAAAGCAATCAACTTCACTATCTAATTTATAAAAGGTAATCATAATTAGCTTATTATTATTTATTTTCTATTATTATTTTCTTCGGGTCATTGAAAAGGTGTTTTCTTTTTAATTGACGAAATACACGGCTCATATGTTAAGCTACCCAGTATACTTTGCATTTTAAATACATTGCAATTTAAATAACTAGCAATGTAATTAGTGAATTACTACTCTAAGACTTTTTTTTTGGGATAATCCCTTCGTGGTGATTCTACTAAAAACCACCCCGACGGCCGGACCATGTTATTTCAGGTTCTCTTCGAATTGACACCATGCCTAATCAGGCCCTATCCCAGAGGAGAACACTTCCCCCCTCGATCGCTCCATGGCGGCCCGATTGGATCTTAATGCAATCAGGCTGCCAATCTATCCCCTACCGCAGCAATCAATCTGCCACCGGAGGTCCCTACTCTCTAGCGGCCCGCGGCCCCGTCGACGGTTAGTATACTACTCTAAGACCTAGGTACTAAAACAAAGCATTACCGTTTAATAAGTATAATTACATAGGTAGGTACTCACCAATCCACATCTTCATGATCATTTCCTTCATTCCTATCGGTGTGAAACCGATAACGAACATAAATTTCGTCTAAAGACTTCCACATGAAAATGAATAAGTAAGTAAGTTTATTGGTTATGATTATATTTATTGGCCTACCATAATTAATAAAATTTATTTTAAAAGCCTAATAAGCTATAAATCTAAAATTATAAACTTTACGGTAAAACGGAACGGATTGCATTATAATTCTATAAGAGTAAAGTACCTCCTTTAAAAGGCTAGTCAATAACTTCAAAAACGTGTCAATTCTTGATAAATGTCCTAAAAATATGAGCGATGACTCATTCGATTCGGAATGACGTCTAGAAAAATGTATCGAAAGTATGTATTTGCATATCAAAAATTGCATTAACAAATTACGATTGAAAAAATATAGCATTTCGTACTGTAAAAACTCAAAAATTATTAACGTTTCAGGCATTTTAAAAAAAGATCCTTAAAGAGGAGGATCAATTTAAGAACCAACTATTTTAAGGTTAATTTTTTTTAATAATTAATCAAAATTTAATGTGGGCACGAATGGATAATGCATAATAATAATAATATTAACAGAAAAGTAAATAAATAGATAACTTAACACATCTCACAAACGGCCGTCTGATTCCATACTAGGCAGAGCCTGTGCTATGGTAACCAGACTCCTGATAAACATACTTATATATTTCTAAACACATACATACCATAGATAAATTACACTCAGACACAAAACAAATCATCGTGCTCATCACACAATATTTGTCTTGGGTGGGAATTGAACCCACGACCTCCGGCTTAGCAGTCAGGGTCACTAACCACTAGACCAACAGCCCGTCCAGACCAACTACTTTACTTATTTTTACAGCAGAGATAATGATGTTTATAATAACGTACGGAATACAATATAATCACAGACGTTTCTACACAAATTCATAATGTACCTAACTTTAAAATTTTAAGCAATTAGGACTATTTTCGAATCTTTCTCTTTTCAAATTAATTATTACGACATCATTTCGACGTCACTGGCTACATTAATTGAGAATCATTACATGGAATTGCTAAAAATACTTTATGGAAATGCATGATATGCTTTTGCTTTATTTAATTGAATTCTGTGTATCACATACAATATAATAACAAAATTTGCATTGGCAAGAAATAATTAGGATACATATACCAGTGTTTTTTAAAAATAACATCTACAATCCATCTTACAAACCATGTCTGTCCATACGTCGAAAAAAATTTTGAAATGAAACTAAAAGAAATTCCAGAATGATTGTGCAGTTTAAAACATTACGCCATAGCTACCATGAGAGTACCATAAATAACTTAAAGCTTCATTTGCTGACGCAATAAATCTCCAGATCTGTCATACAAATATTTAATGAATTATAACCGTTTAATCTGCCCAAACCGTCATACATGTGTTAGTAAGAGATTTGGGCCTGACTATGGATTAGTTCTGACATCATATAATAGACATTAACATTTAATTTGGCAGCTTAATGTAAAACCCTGTCGATTATAAAATCATATCTTAAGTTATTTTTATAAATACCTACTAAGATTGACGTGCCAAACCGTCTCGTGTGATTAAAAATATAATGTATCATCGTAGTAGTACTTGACTGAATGATACCCCGGTTAACCCAAATACTTTATATCTTATATTTATATCTTTATTTTATTTAGATAGTACTTATGTCACCTACATTACTCGGTAATACGTTTCATAATCTGACTTATCATTTGATATATTGAAAAGAAAATTATCTAAGTATATAAATTAATAAATTTGAAGTGCCCGTAATGTCATCATAACAGCAATTATAATGTAAAATGAATTTAAAAAATGTATTGTTCTCCCACTCTGTTTGTGCCAGTTATTATCTTACAACTGATTGCCAAGAGATTTTTATTAGCATATAGCTGGTAGATGCTACAAGTAGTAGTTTAGGGTATTTTTTTATTACAACAAAACATTAGGGTTACG